CTTTCGGAGATGTAGGGCCCCCGATGACAGATGTTTATTTTAATATACATATTTTTCAACTAATTTCCAACTTGTTTTTGCCGCACATCGTAAAGATTGCTAATTGAAAAAGGAAAAATAAAAAAACAATAATAATAACATTTGTTCTATATTTGCTTTGGACCATTGCGCGGGGCGGTAAATTAACAAAAAGCTGAATAGCAAAAAACTAAAGAAGGGAAAAGCAGTTGCTCTATAAAATAGAGACTCTGGAAACACTCGAGTCAAATGTCGATTAGGCGTAGGAGTTGCAGGTGGGAGGGTAATATCCTTGAGTTTATAACGCCCCGGGCTTTGGCTTTACCTTTGTTTGAGCGTCGTAAAAATCATAAAACCATTAACTTAATGCCTTAGCTTAGTGCAAAGCAATAACAAAAGAGCAAGGCGCAAAAAAAAAAAACTAAATAAAAACAAAACGAAACGCGACTAACAAACATGTGACTTATCGCATTTGGCTGCTAAAATTCATTTCCTGGCGACGACGCACTGCACTTCCAGTTGTATGAGTAATACAGTCGGAGTAAAACCCCTAAAGCGATTCGATTCGGATCAGGATCAGGATCGGGTTTGGGTTCGGAATGGGGGGGAGTTACCCCAACCCTAAGTCATTCCCCCAGTTAGTCATGAGATCACAATGAGCGGAACGCGTTTTAAAGCTTAGAACGAGATAAGGTCGACGGAAGATCATACAATTAACAATTAAAATATTTTATTTATATATTTTGTAGGCTCACTAAATGAATATAAAGTGATTCTTATATTAAAATATTAAGTTATTAGTGAAAATAACAACAAACCATTGAAATGTCTTTTAATTACTTTAATTAAAGTAATTTTCCGATTTAGTAATTTAACCTTTAGCTGTTAACTTCCAAATGAATCGTAAAACGTAAAAAAAACGAAAACAAAACAGATAAAACCAGGACTGAAGGGGTATGTACTTGAAACCAGCAGCAATCACAGGTAATTTGGCTGTAAAAACGATTGGCCCCAAACAACGAAGTTGTTGGCCGCAAATGCGCATCAACGAATTGACACCTGCACAGAAAGAAAATTACAGAACTACATGGTCTTATTAATTTTGAAATTTACACTTTAATTTACAACTCTTATTTTTTATTTAAATGTTATTCGAAGACGAACATTATTGTTCAAAGTGCTCATTGATTGTTATTATTTTTCATTATTCATTCTTATTGTTATTATTTTATCATATATATTTATTTGCTTAATAATTTTATTTAATATTTAATTAAATATCATGCCTATTTTTAAAGTTAATTAAAGCTCAAAAACTTTATTAAGTAGAAAAGTTCTATTTTTTATGTCATACCTTTAATAATAGAAACCCTTTGAATAATGGAATAAGGTGATATAGTTTTTATCGCTATGCCATTTCTCACATGTCATCATGATGATAGCTTTAAATTGCAATATTTTTTATAAATAAATATTATATCTCCTGTATATACTATCGAAATATTTCATAATATCACGATGACAAGTGCCCGGAAGCAGGAACAAATTTTCTCCAGTGTCATCGTGATAAACACTATAATTAAATACTAGTTGTTTGCCCCGTACTGTGTGGCCGGTGGCGGTGCGTGACAATGGCCGGAGGAGGGATTAGAGAGCGCTCAATAAAGGCTGGCTTAAGGCCGGCAAGGCCAAGGCACTATCTGTGCGTATGCGTAATGTACTTATCTATCTATCCATCCATCCATATATCTATATATATATATATATATATATATATATATATACTGTACAGCCTTTAGGGCAAGTCATGGTGAGATAATAATGGCAAATGTCACAAAAATCACTGGAGGCAGGCATTGAAAAGGCTCTGATTGCTTTTCGCACGCTGCTATCAAACAACAAACAAATGGCAGCCATAATAATTGATCGTGATGCGTGGAGCACACTTTACTGCTGCGAGAGGGAGCGAGGTGAGTGAGTCATGTGAATAATTCGTGAGATATTTGTGCACATTCATGCTGATAGATCAGGAAAGCCAAGTTGATACGGCTTGCCTCTTTCTCTCTATGTTTCTCTTTGCTTTTCCCCCCACTTATCCCCAAAAAACCTGCCGTCATTTATGGCTTTGCATACTGTGGTGAAATTCCCCAATAAAAACCATATTTAGGATCTCCAGTTTTCTCAGAAGCATTCCTGATTCTCTCGGCTCTCTATCTCTCCTTTCGGCGAGATCAGGAATACCCCCGCTTTTGGTCGCACATGCCGTATGAGCAATCTGTTTGCCTGCGCCTGACGTCACGCCACAATGACTTGGCGATTCCCTGAATTCGAGGGAATATCTATATCTAGTGATTAGTGCTCCGTTTTCCACTTTCGATTCGGTCACGCCAGCGGAAGAATATGCCAGAAGTTTCCACCCAAGGTCGTTTGCACCCCAAAAAATCATTCAAAAACACACAAAATAAAGGCGGAAAACGCAGAAATATTCGATGGAAATGGATAGGGGCAAGTGTAAATCACATGCACACACACATTTTTTTTTATATGTAAAAAAGTGAACGAATGTCAAGGCTGTAGCCGCAACAATAACAACTACAAGCACAAATACAAAGCCCTCCGTCTGTCCGGTGGATACTTAAAATCGAATTGCCCCGTAATTACGGGCAAACAACATGGAAAATCAATAAAAAAGTAGAAAAAAAAATTAAAAGGGGCAGAGGAGGGCAAGAAATAATAGTTGTCGGCTGCCCTGGTAATTACGCACTTACAAAAAATTACCCACAGACACAATTACTTACAATGCCGGTCACAAAATAAGTACGAATCAAAGGTTCTCTTCAATAAACAACAATTTTTTAAGCACTTTGTATATTTTTTTAAGTGTGAAGCTTTAGAAAAACTCCCTGAAGTGTGAAAAAAAACATTTAATAATAAATACTTTCGGAACTGGTTTTGGTTTATTTGTTAGCAAACAAACTCTAATTGAGTTATATTTGTATTTATTTTTATATTTTTATTATTAAATATGCCAATATGAAGTAAATAAATAAAACTCTTTATTAATTCTAGAGTTAAATCTTAAACTGGGAAACAGCACACTAACAATACTCTTATAAGAATTATAACAGTTTTCTTTTTGATTTATCTCCAGTGACCACTATTATTGCGACCGCTGCTGTTCGCCCGGCTCAAACACTTACTCACACACCGAGTGTGAGACCTTGCCCCTCTGACCCCGCAAAATCATTATAAAACCTGCCTCGTCATCGGCTCCCAACTGGTGTTAAGTAAAAGACGGCAACGAGGCAACAACTACGACAACTACAACAACCACTCCGATCATAGGTAAATAAGCAATAACAACTTACCGGCAAAAGGAAGAGGGCGACAAAACAAACACAAACAAACGCAGTTACAAGTCGCAGGCACGCGTGCTCCAATAAGAGAATCTCAGCTGTTGCTCGGGCGACGTCGGCGTCCTCAAATCAGAAGAAGAATAATGTATAGGCACTCCTGCACTGCGCGCTGATGGCGGGTTTGGGTTGTGTAACGACGTTCGACGTTCTCGTTTTCTCAGCAATTCGTCGAAATTTGCCGCAGCTTCTCTCGTCCTTTTTCCCTTTTATAGCACAAATTCAATGGAGTTCGCTCTAGTTGACCAATTGCCAATTGGTAAATGCACCAAAAACAACAACAAAATAACGGCAACAAAAAGCAAATAACAACTGTGTGGCGGCCGCGTGTTTTTTCCTCTCACTCTCACACTCTCGGCGGCGGTGGCGTTGTAAACAGATATTGCAATTGCGACAGTTTCTGCAGATATTGTTGGCCTATTGCTAATTATAGATATTGCGGCTGCCACCGGAATGGGAATCCGCGCATCCGAGTCCGAAATTCACGCGAAACGTGTTGTGCTCCCCCGCCCGGAAAAAAAGGTTTGTCGTTCCAATTGGAAGTGTGCTGCAAGTGCGCTGGTGTGTGTGGTGTGGGTATTTTTGTATTTGACAATATTATAGTTTCCACGAGGAGGCTGTTTATTGGCTTATATTATAGCGCGAATCTATATTGCCGCCAAATGATCTGGTAAGGTTAACGTAAACAGCGCAGCGCGATATTAACACAATTCCAAAAACAATAAAACGCCAAACGTTAACTGCGCGGCTATTTATGTAAAAACGAAACATTGGCCCGTGTGACCCTACCACAGTTCTTGGGACGACGCACCCCGCGAACGCCCACGCCCGTCCTAACGCAACAAGTGTGGTTTGGCCACACTGGCGCGCCTCTTCAAAACAACAAACAGTCCGAAACAGCTGACCCGCCCTACAAAACGATTAACGAGCGTTGATCAATAATACTTATTGGATTAGACTATCGATTTAGTTTACAGGACAATCAGTTGTGGCTGTTTTATCACATTCCGGCGGTGAAAAAAGACCTGGGGTAGGGGATTTTTAGTGTGACCAACTGATTGCCACGCCAGTGCTGGAAAACGAGTCATTTAACCCACTGTTGCCCCTTGCTTCTCCTTGGAACATTCTAGAGTTTGTAATTTCACCATTTCGGGAAATGCATGATATCCTTATGAAATGTATTATGTTCTGGAAAAATGTACTATTTATTTTTCATAAAATTGCTGAAATAAAACCCGTAAACAAAAATATAATTAGAATTTAATTTAAAATAAGAAAATATTCGTCAATTCCTTCGAGTTTATAATAGTTAAGTTTTTGCCAAAACAAATAAGGACTTTTAAGAAAAAAAGACGTGCTTGACATTTTATTTAATATTATAAATTAACTTCTTTCTATTTAAAGTAATTATTTGTTTAATTTTATAAATCCTCGTTTTCCTGTGTTTTTAGGAAATGTAATTATTTAACTTAAATTAGCTTTTAAATTAATAAAAAACGATTTAAAACAATCGAATTATATTTTATTTATTCATTTAGCAAAATCTATATATTACATGGGTGCTAAATGTACCGTAGCTTAATTATTTTTCTATTTATTATAATTAAAATTATACATCAAATGTAATTTACGCAAAATTGAATCGTCAGGGTCCGTGGCTCAGAGCTGCAGGTGGAGCAAGGCGCCTTCTGTTAGAATCGTTATAACATTGCTGGCCGTGGCGACGCCCAGGATATCGCCGTGCTCATAGTCGATTGTAATGAGGTTCTGTTTTCCAACGACGACGGGCGGACCGTTGCGCTTGCGCAGCCCCTCGGCGGACTCGTGGCGGGAGTGGTAGACGAGCACGTTCCGCCGGCCCTCACATATTACGGAGTACTCAAACTCCGGGCAGCAAGCGGTGAACTTGTGATTCTCCTTTGAGGCCTGCACGTAGCCCATGGCGTTCAGCTGGCCCACGTGTCGCACACCCCACTCGTCCGGTCGGCTGGGCTGGTACACCTGCAGCCACACGGAGGCGTCCACGCCCTGACGAGTGGCGAAGGCTGCCGGAAATCCTGGGCGGATATTGGTGACGAAGAGCAACGGCTGGCTGCCCAGGAAGATGGTGTGTGTTATTTTGTTCTCTGGCAGGTTAAAGCGCACTAAAAGTACAGGTCAAGTGTCAAATATTTGAAATTCCAGGAGATGGATTGGATTGACTCGTGCCAACACTCACCTATCTTATTGTCATCATCCGGGTTACCCAGGTCGCACTCCTCAATGGGATCCTCCAGATTTGGTATTGGCAACCCGGCAGTACTTGGCGGTCCCCCCACATCCTCCTCGACACCGTCATCACCGTCTCCCTTGAGCAGCCGTGGCCATCTATCTTGCTCCGTCTGCTTGTCCAGGCTCATGTGGAGAGCACTTGCCTCCACCACCGAGACAAGGGAGTCGGGGAGAACGGGCTGGTACAGTTCGCCTGTCAGCAGCACCTGCTCCAAGTAGATTACCTCGACAGTGGTCGATGTGCAGCGAATGGTGATGTCGGCAATCGTGGCGGTCTCGGGCAGAGGAAAGCGGAGTATCAAATCGCTATTTGACTGGTTCCAGGTGTACATTCTAACGCCGCGGTCATCCTCGGCATCTTCGGTAGCCGCTACGTCGTGACCATTCAGCATCGGACGATGAAGAGTAGCAAGAGGAGTGGTGGCTGCAACTGTTGCGGCGGCCTCGGCCTCTTCGCGCGTCTCAATCTTGCGATTGCTGGCCAGAATTAGGGATTCGGCGCGCGGCTCAAAGGCGCAGTATTGCAGGGATCCGGTTGTTTGCAACCGCTGGCGGATCGTATATTTCCATTCGTTGATATCTTGGTTAAAGGCCAATTGGCCCCATATGATGTCCAGGTAGCTTATCCATGTTTCGCGACGCGACACATGACCAGCCACCAGGGAGATCTGCTTACGTTCCTGCACCACATCCAGCCGGGCATCATACATGATGTAACCGCGCGTGCCGCTCTCTTTGTCCACCGGCGTGCGGGTGACCAATTGCCATTGGTCGGTGGAGATGCGAGAGCGATCACCGGTGTCCAGCAAATGGTAGGTGGAAATGCCGTCGCAGATCACAGAGAAGCGTTCCGAGACGAAGCACATGGAGTAGTTGTAGTCGCCGGACATTTGAGAGTGGCCGTCGCCGTGATCTAATTTCTCAATGGTGTAGACGACGCGCAGGCCAAGGGTATGCCCGATCTGCGGATCGTAGATGCACTGCATCACCTGGTGCTGCGCGTTAATAAAGTAGGTGTTGTGGCGCATCCACGGGTCCACGCACAGAAGGTTGTGGCGAGCAAAGAGCTCCCCGAGGAGCCGAGAGTATTCATTCCAACTAGGATCCAGCTTCGACGGCCTCACAGGCAACTCCTCGCGGAAAACCGGCACCGGGTCGAAGGACAGCTTATAGCCGTCGAAGTTGGAGCAAACGAGATTGCGGTCCACAGAAAGCTCCACGGCCGACATCCTGGCAAATCAATTTTTGTTGTTTCTTGTAAAAAAGTAGGTACCAAATTTTGGAAATTTGTTCCAAATAAAAAACCAAATGTCGTGCCCGTCTGTGTTATCGTTATCGACAACTGCGATTTCGATAGGTTTGTTTACGTTATGTTCATGACGTTAGCTTTGTGTATTTCCAATGGGGAAAAGCTTTTTACAATTAATTTGTTAAAGTTTTTCTTTCTATACAATTACAGATTTGTTTTCCTCCTACAAAAAACGTCGATAGCTCTGTGTGCGGCACTTTTAAAACACGATAACTCATACAAAAAATGTTCCTCCAGTGTTGGAATACGCCCTGCCGACCAAGAAAAGTGGCCCAATGGAAACCGGGACAAATTCAAACTTATTTAACTAAATTATATTAAATTTAACTAAATTATATTAAATTAATCATAATTATTATAAATTTAAACTAAATTATATTACGGTACTGTCATTGCCTTTTATTTTATTTCACCGAGTATTCCTATATATTACCATATAACTTTTCTATCTGAAATCTACATTAATAGGCTTAATAAATCTCATTTGGTTAGAGAACTTTTATATTTGATAATTATTCTATTATTTATCTATTCCCTTTAGTTTCCCTCCTTAAATACCGATAACTCTCCCGCCAATCGTTGATTGCTTGCATTTCAAATGCCGATAGCACCTACGTGTTCCTGAAGTGTTGGTAAGCGCCGTGCCGGTCAAAAAGAGTGTTGACACGTGTCAGAACATTCTTTAGTGTTTTTAAGTCAATTCTTTTTTTTTTAGCAATTAGCAAACAAAACGTAATCCGGACGAAGACGACGACGACGACCTGGTGAGGACGACAGGTGGTATTTTCCAGAGTCCTGGGTGTGACCCGTGCCATCTGTTCTCGTGTCTTTTGCAGCTAGAATATAGCATCCAAGCGGCAGCAGAAAGAGGCGAGGCAGCAGAGTTCGTCAACAGAAGAGCAGCGCAGTGCAGCGAAGGGGGCGACGATACAATTCCGCGGACTTGAGCCACCAGCCAACAGCAGCTGTTTCGTGGCACCGGACTGGACCGGACGGGAGCAATCCAGAGTCACATAGGCACAGATTCCAAAACGAAATACCGAATACCAAAAACTACGGCGATGGCCCAAAGTCGGTACCAACGCACACAGATTCTGCTCGCCCTGGGCGTCGTGGTGGCCCTGATGCAGTGCGTCGCCGCTGTGGAGTTCACCTTCGACCTGGCCGACAATGCGGAGGACTGCTTCTACGAGGAAATCAAAAAGAACTCGAGCGCCTACTTCGAGTTCCAGGTGTCCGCCGGCGGTCAGCTGGACGTGGACGTGACCCTGAAGGATCCGCAGGGCAAGGTCATCTACAGCCTGGACCGGGCTACGTTCGATAGCCACCAGTTCACTGCAGAGATATCGGGCGTATATACGGCCTGCTTCGGCAACCAATTCTCGGCCTTCTCGCACAAGATCGTCTACGTGGACTTCCAGGTGGGCGAGGAACCGGCGCTCCCGGGCGTCGACGAGCATGCCACCGTGCTCACCCAGATGGAGACCTCGTCGCAGGCGATCCACAAGGGCCTCAACGAGATCCTCGATGCCCAGACGCATCACAGGCTGCGCGAGGCGCAGGGTCGCAAGCGGGCCGAGGATCTCAATCAGCGCGTGATGGTGTGGTCGTCGCTGGAGACGGCCGCCGTCGTGCTCATCGGTCTCGTCCAGATTCTGGTGCTGCGCAACTTCTTTACGGACCGCAAACCCAGCCAGGCGCACTACGGCCGTCTGTAGAGGCCCGAGCAGAAGTCTGAGCAGCGATGCGAAGGGAGGCAGGAGCAAGGAGAAGCAGTAGTTGGACTCGGAGCGCCGCATCTCGTATTTTAATTAATTTTTTTTCGCTATTTGTTCAGAACGCCCTGCGTTGGCATATAGGAGAGCTCTCTCTCTCCGCTCCTATATGTGCAACGTATTCATTCCCACTCCCCCACGGGCAGTTTTTTTCTCTTTGGTGTAACCCGGCCCCGGTCCTACCTACCTACCTACCGACATGTACTATTTTTTGTTGAGACCCGGAAACAGAATGAATGTTTTTTTTTTACATTAAATACATGCAAAAGCAACCATAACTCGATAGCTAAAGGTAAACCAAATCGTGTTTCATTTGCGGGCATCCTTACAGCTCGTTTCTGGTTTCTCTTGGCTGACTGAGCGCCCTCGATTTGGAGTTATCATAGACACATAGCTTAGTTATAACGCTTGTAGATGTGTATGTATGTGCATACCAGCTGAGTCAATATTGTGGCACTCCGTCCGGCAACCAGAACAAGACCCATTCAACTAAGTAATCATGTCAACGATGATAATGATAATGTGGGCGAACAAGTGCTCAGCTGATATGGCGGCACTCCCTTGAAACCGAATCATAGCTCTAAAGATTTTAGGTTTTTTAATTAAAATAAATTATAAAACACTTATGAATGAGAAAAAATGCATTATAATTGACCAAGAAGTAGCATATTGAGGGATTTTAAATAGAGTAAAGCATTGCATTGTATTATTTACGAAATTCTGTTTTAATTTTATGAAAATCGGACGATCATTATACAGCTGCCATAGGAATAATAAATAACTAAAACTGTAAATGTATAATATATACTCAATCTATTTAAAAGAGCAGTTGTAGTTGATAGATCCTAGAGCCCATGGAACTCAATGTCAAGCAGCTGTCACTGGAAAAATTTAACGTCAAAGGCTTCAGGAAATTCGGGCAGCATCATTTTCATCAGAGCTCAAACCACGCAAAGCTTTACTATCACCACATCCGCGACATGGGTAGCTTCTCCAAAATGACACCGCCGACGAAAGAGCAGCGGGAGAAAGAAGAGAAGCCACTGATGAAGCAGCAGGAGAAGCAAGAAAAGCAACTGGATGCTGGCACCAAGGCAGAGGCAGAGACAGAGACGACCTGCACCGCAGGAGGTGCTACCGAGCAGAACACTGAAGAGAAGACTTCGGCGGATAACAAGGTTCCCGGCAAGCTATTGGGCAAGCGTGCCGGCAAGCCCACTCCCACCCGTATGGAGCACGATCTGAAGAAGAAGAAGCTGGATGAAAGCAAGATCCAGGACCAGGATAAAGCAGGTCCTTCGAAAGGCGAGGGGAAGGCCTCCAAGAAGGAGGAGCAGGAGCAGAAGCAGGAGGTATTCAATGTTCCCCAGACACGAACAAGGACTAATGATGGCCCTGCACCTACCACACCTGAGGGAAGACAACAACCCCCGCCAATAAATCCAATCTATACTCCAGCCAGGCCCAAGTCCAAGTCCAGACTAATCAAAGATGAGCCCTTGCTGGAAGATTCTACAAAACTGGATTAGGCTTCAAGAATTTACAAATGTTATTGAGAAATAATAACAAATTATAGCAACAATACTGCTTAGCACTAACTATCTATGTTATCTATCTACGGGTTCTCCTGGGTAGCTGAGTTCTGTAGATTAGAGACAGAAGATTAGAGGGGAAGATGTTAATTCCGACTGTATAAACAGTTTACGGATATATATTAAGCCCGAAAATATGCTATTTGGGATATGGCATTGAAAATATGTGTATGTAGTGCCGCATTTGCATAGGGAAATGCACTTCTTTAGACTATATTATATTATGAAATATATAATTCTATTATCATAATATAAATATATGAAATGTTATCTATATGTATTATTGCCTGGGAATTGAATATTAATATTGAATTTTGTACATACAATTTCCCAAAATCATCATGTTTGAATATAAAGGTTTTTCTGAGTTAGGCTACCGATAAAAATACATTTTGAAGATGTTGTATAGAATTTGTTTGTTTAGTTTAGTATATGTATATAACATGTATATGTGTTATCACATTTTATTTTGATTATTTGTTGCACGTACATATCAACTGATACTTACCCGTTACCCATCTTATCATTATTTTTATACATATATCATTATCATTATTGAGTCACCTATGATCAGTTCGCATTGATGCATTAATCTGGTTAGGGACATTTATCTTATCGGTCCGCTTTTGAGGCAACCCCTTCTAATAGTGATAACTAACCAGTTGTGGTAGCTCCCACATCCCATCCCAGTTGAAGTTGGCCAATAGCAACGGGAATTCGATTCGAGTTACTAAACGATAATTATGCAAACACGAAATTATTGCCACTGCCATGATAATGCAGCATTCAAAGGCCGTAAATCTCCTTAACAGTTTTATGTACGGCTGTCATCTTTTCCATTGTTGATCTCCATTGACTGACTCTCGGAATTTCGCACACTCCATACCAGGCCAAGCCATTGCCAAATCTGTCCAGATGTATGTGTATGAAAATAGTATAAATGCTATGCTAATATCGGCGTTTGTCTCCAATACCAATTAATAGTATTTAAATCGGTCCAAGACAATGACAGTGACACATCGTTGGCCATATGTTTATTGCCCCATTCATAACAAAAGGTGCTAAGACAAAAAACCAATACGAAGTTTGTTGTAAGTCAACGATTTTTATTTGTTGTTCGACTTGTATTTCTTATTTTATTTGTTTTTATTTTAAGGGGGAGGGGGGTGTTCTATGGTATGAGTATCAAAAAGTTTAAAACGCTCTCCTAAAAAATGCCATTTTGAAAATCGTTGTTCACGACAACTCAAAATCTACTGAACCAATCGTTTTGAAATTTGGAACACAACTTCTTTTACTAATTCTACAGGTACTCATGTTGGGCTTTTTATTTTAAATTTTTATAAATTTTTTATTTAACAAATTAGCTGTTGTAGCCTTATGTGTCAAGAAATGCAGCTTTTTATTTGTTAGAGGTTTTTAAATAATTTATATAGATAAAGACATGCCGCTGTTTTAAACTAATCTAAGGTACCCGTTAAGCAGTTCTGCCTAATATTGGCATTAATTGCCTTCAAAACGGCAGCGCTGAGCCATTGGAATTTCTCTGGGGCTCTTACACCACCTCTCTTAAAGCGACTATTGGCTCCAAAATGGGAAGTTAGGCCTGAACTCTTGGCTTGGCAACAACAGAAACGAAAAAGGTTTTTAAAAAAACCTACCAACCCGGCCAAGTGAAAGGGAAGCGGCTGAAGGACATGTGTAAATGAATTGTCAGCGGATCGATCGGTCGATTGATTGATGTCAAAATGGGGTTAATCAAACGTCAACACACTTTGCATGCTAATTATCCATTCATCCATAATGATAATCATAATAATAACGCGAGTAATCCGTGGCACATGTGTAGGGAGCCAGACCCAGACCCAGACCCAGAAGCAAACCATTAGGCACACCGCAAAAAAAATATATAAATCTATTGCCAAAGATATGTTATGATGACATTATCTATAATCTGGGTAAGTTTGTGACCATTTAATAGTCTCAAAAATTTTTGTAGTATCTATGTTTAAAGCTCTGCCCTTAGGTTAGCACAAATTAAATATTATAGTGACTGTAATTATGTCAGTAATTATTTTAAATACTAATATATAACTTCTAAATATGTCTTTATTGTTTTTTTTTTGGATATCAATATATATTTGTATTGTGACTACATTTATTAGAAAACCTTCAAGTGATTAATATTTTCCCTATATAACCATTTAACTGATTTAAATGTAATATTTATAAATATAAAGTTCTAGAAATAAATATATATTTCCTATTAATATATTTATTAAATTTTCTGTGCAGCAATTAACTTTTAGCAAGGGATTATAAACCCAAAAGGGGGGTATTTAAAAATCGTATTTCAACATCCCATTCAGTTTTGCCTGGCATGGCCCAATAGCTGATGGCAATCAATGAATCGACTCTGTTGGACCCCTCCAAAAAGCAAACAGCTCCGAACACGCCCCGAACTTCCTTCCAACCCATCTCCGGACTCCCTCTGTCCACTCTTCACTCCTAGTCGCCATCCCAATCCCGTCCAGCTTGCCGCCGCTTTGGCTGCTGGCGAAGACGCTTCAGGTTTTATGTATCAATTAGTAGTCCGACGACACTGGTCCCATCCGTCAATGGGCGAGCTTCGGCTGGAAGCTAGCACAGCGAGGGTGGCTTCAAGTCTTGGTTACTAACTGACTGTAAAAAATAAAATCTCTCAAGCATATATTGATATTAAATAATTGAAAACTTATTTTTTGGGCTTATTAAAATATAAATAAAAATAAAATAGGACATCTACACCTATAATACATGATTATTTACCTTAACAATTGATTATATATAAGTATATTAATAATTAATAATATAATTATTAATAAAATGTTATTATTGTTTATATTAAATAATTTTAAATTAATTACTGAGGTTTACTAAAATATAAATAAATAAACACAAAAATATAATTAAGTAGAGTTTAAGGTATAGAAAAAATTATTACATAGGATGGGAACATGGCAAGAAATGGTACGGGTCAAAATACTGCTCATGATAATCAATAGGAAATTATAGAATATTAAAATAGGACACTTTTACCTATAATAAGTAATTAATAATTAATAATAATAATTAATAATAATTATTTACCTTAGCAAATTATTTACCTTATAAAGTGGGTTTTGCGATAGAAAATACTTTAAAACGGCCCGTAACATGTTTATTACTTACAAAATGTATTCAATATTAGTTTCAGACTTTAAAAATATTATATTATATATATTATATATATTATCTAACATTTAGATACTTATTTTAAATATTGCTATACTCCACTTTAAAATACTTTAAAAACCGCCCTAAAAATCGGTTTCCCTTTCTTTCTTTTCTATTTATATATATTTTTTATTTATTGTTTTGTTCGGTTTTATTATAGTTTCATCTTACGCTTGTTTATATCTGCATCTGTATCTGTTTTTGTAGCTCCATCGGCTTTGCCAAATATTTCGATAGCTCCGTGTGTAGTATCTTTTGCTGCAACTGCTGCTGTGGCCCCCCAATTTTTTGTTTCAATATTGATAAATATCTGAACAATATATGCATAGACAATAAGTATGTAAATCGAGCTGCTATGGCCCACTAATGGGTGGCGATGTTTGTTAATGTGAATATATTCATTTTCACAGAGAACCGGAGAAAAGGGGGAGGGGGAGCGCGAAATTAAATAATTAACAAGCCAGGCAATATGCATATCAAATTTTGTTAGTTATGCCAACAGGGAACACACTCATAAATAAATAATTATGTATCTCTGATGCTAATTCGGGCCGAGCGGAAATTTATGATACGAAAGAATCGAAGATTGGGCCTATATCGAACGTTGGGCTAGGGCGTGGATCTGTGGATCTGTGGATTAGTCCGTTTCAAAACGACTCCAATGTCCGGTACATTTCGAAACCTCGTAGTAGCATGGATGCAACATAGATTTCAAAACTATATAGCTTGATGAATGTGTTATAATTAGGCCAACAATGTTCCTAATTTACTTTTTGTATAATTTATTGAATTAAATTATTTCATTTTAAATATTTTTTAAGAGAAAATGATTGTTATTTTGTAATATTGTTTGGAATAGGCTAAAGTTATTTATTTCAATTTATGTTTATTATTATACAAAATTTGTTAACCGAGAAAGGAAGCTAATTTCGGAAAACCGCATCATGAAAACTGTTTATAACTAGCTAGATTTGATAAGGTAAATAAATCTGTTTACTTAATTTCTTGAATTTGAATATTTATCCATAATTTTATATGATAATTTTAAGATAAGTAAAAACTAAAAATTCATAACTCGGCCAAAAAGGAATATATTTCAATTTGGAAAGCTGTTCTGAGTTAGTTTAAGTTATAAATATAAATAAAAATAAAATAAATATTATTCTAGATTCTAAAGACTTCTATAATAGTTATATTAATTAAGGGGGGATATACATGTAAGCAGTCAAAATTTGGCCATTTTTCGTGAATTTTTTTTATAAGAAATAGTCAAGCAATCGTCGTGAAACTTTGGATATAGTTAAAAGTAGAGTCAGAGATGACAAAAAAAATTAGTTATAAACAATATTTTACAAAATGGCGGATTTATGGAACATATGCCGTAGCGCCTCGAGCTTTGAGTTGCCGTACTATGGACACGATAGGGGTCGTAATTCCTGTCCAAAACCCGTAAACTAAATTTTTTTGTATTCATTACACCTGTATCTTCTATTTGAACCTAAAAAACCCAAAAGAAATCAAGGCAAAAAAATTAAATTTTGATTTGAAGGAAAAAATTCCATTTTCAGGTGATCAGTTTTCACTTCCCACCCTCTTAAAAAATAGTAATACTCAGTTTTATAACAACCATGTAGGTTCAAATAGAAGATAATTTCATGCTGATCATAATAAAATTTTATTCACACCGATATGTTACGTAGTTTTTTCTGAATCGTGTCCATAGCATAGGCAGAAATGCAAAAATTAGAAGCTGAGAAAAAGACGTTTAAAGTTTTTGATGTGCCCACGTTAACACTTGTATACTTTGCTTGCATACTTAATTTGAGGCACTTAAAGTTGGAATTCGATGATGAAACTTACACAGTCGATTCTTTAAGTAATAAACTATTTTTTAAACAAAGAAAAAATTTGCAAAAAAAAATTCTGGTTTACATGTATATCCCCCCTTAAAATGATTTTATTTATATATCCCCAAAAAAGTTAACTTATTTCCCCAAATGTTCTCACTAAATAAAACCGCAACTAAAATGTGATTCAAATGCAGCCGAATATTATTTTATTGAAATTTTATTTTAACCATCGAAACCAGATACAGAATCGAATAGATACCTCATGACATTCCACGATAAAAACAAAATAAAAATGAAGCAATCGGCCATTAAGCCATAATAAAAACGTTAGCACATTGTTTTATTTAATCAGTTAATAAGTTTATGGGGGCCAGACCCTTTTCCGTTGTGTTTTCCCCTGTGATTTTCTACCTCGCCTCGATTCGATTCAATTCGATTCAATTATTTGCATGTCCCGCCTTTGTTGGCCACCTGTGCCTTTGTTGGCCCTCTGTTTTGTTGGCCAAGTTGTTGGCTGATCGTTCGGCATGAAATATTTGTCCCAAGATGGGTCAAGGTTTCCCCCAGCAGGCAGAGAGAGAGAGAGAGAGGGGGTAACCCCCGGAGCGCCATGGGAGAATGAGACGGCTTTCTGGGGAAAAGTAAACGAAATAGATGTCGCATCTTTGGGTTATACAATTCCACCTGTTTTGTTGTGATCACTGATCACAGCAGCAGCGATTGATTTGTGTCGATGAATAGAGTCATGTCTCGTAGATAAACGAGCGATGCGTGAAAGGGTAACCTTATTTTAAAGGGGGGTTTCGTTCCGCTTTAATTTAGGGCCTACATATCCGGTCCCCACATTCTGTGGGGATAAATTTATTTTGTTTTATAATTCGTATTGCAGGAAATATGCAAGATTTTAAACGGTTATGCGAAAACTTTAAACACCTACATTTGCATGTTTAATTTCGCTTACAGGTTTTGATTTTTATGATATTTTAGGATTTTATGAACTTAAGCTGAAGTTTGGGGAAAAACCTATGAAATGATACAGGAAGTCACAGCTCTCTTGACTCTCTCTACGAGATCCTTCTGACAATTGAACTACGATCCGCCATTTTTTTTAAGTTGCCACTAGTCTCTAGAAAGTATTACCAGAAGGGTTGATTTAGTCCTTTCAGACTATTACAAACCAAGCTTTAATAATTATATTTGTAAAGGAATAATAAATAATTATATAATCTCTATTCTAGCACCCCGTAATTAATGACTAAATATGTTTATAAATCTCCAGATATTGCACAAAATATCCAACGGGGCAGCCACAGGTGGCATTATCCCTGCCGGAGGTAAGGCGACATGCTTATCACTGTTTAATGTTTAATTCATGGCCCAAACTAAGCTAAAACTGAAACCAAAACCAAAAGCAAGAGAGACACACACGCATGGCTAATGACAGATGTAATCATTTTCGGCAGATATTTAGCGAACACTTTGCGAAACGATATACATATGCAAAGCTAATAGCAGGAAATCCAAGACGCGAAGCCGCCAATCTGCCAATCCGCCAATAATGAGCATCGCCGCATTGCGCAATCCGTATTCCGGAGCCAAGTCGGAGAACTCCATTCCATGATGTGACTGATGTCCCATGGCCGCGGCGTTTTTGGGAGCAGGCGTATTAATTACATCCGCCCAAAGAAAAGATTTACACTTGGAAAAAGTCATATATTTCTTAAATACATTTTGTAAAATTCAATATTATACATAGGTAAAAGGTCTTACAAATCTTACGTTATTCACATATATATATATATATATATATATATATACATATATATATTTTATATTAAATTACCAATAAAATAAGATAGAATGGAAAGAGAGATTATGATTGCCTGTGCGCCACTTATGTTCTAGATATTGGTTACAGATAATCCACAAGAAATGCATTACAAAAGATCCTAAAAGATACAAATATTATAAAATTAATAATTAATAAATAAATATATTAGAACTTGAAAAGAACATTTACTATCCTATTGTTTCTTGCAAGTCATAAAATATGTATTTCTAAATAATAGTAGATAGTTCTTAGGGACAGCAAGAAAGGATGCCAAGTTCGTTAAGCGGAAGTATAAATATTTTATAAGATCATCTAATAAATATATAAATTAAAGCTGTCTATAGTACCATAACCAAGCCATAAAAGTAATAACTTTAATATAAAAAATGTCAGTTTAAATATGGAAAAATAAACACAGCATTCTCTATGATTAATTATAATTTGTAAAAAAATTTCTTGGCTATACGATTAGTTTCTAAGTATATGTGCTGAGAATTTGTTATTAATTTATTGAAAAATGAGAAACAATCACTAAATAAACCCCATTTATTTCCTAGTTTCACCGTTATTAACCAGAAGAGCCCTGAAACATTTAAAATCCCATAAGAAACCATAAAGTTAAAGACCTATGTTAGCTTTTAGGTATTATCCCAGTTCCAAAAAAAGGAAAAATTCATAAAATCCCCAAAATATTCTCCGTTTTTCTGTGTTACTCACTCACTAAACCGTCGTTAGCTGCTACTTAAGTTGTACATATTTGGTAATACAGCCCAAAAAAGCTTTGCTTTTAGCTGCTTTTTTTTCGCTGCTCTTTCTTGGCTCATGTCTAATAAATTCGCGGCTATTTGTTTTTCTGCGTGTTGACGACGCAGAGACGGCGATAACTCAATAAGCCGAATCTGCATTTTCGATTTTTCGAGCGAAATGCGAAGCGACCCAAAGAAAATCAAAAAAAAAAGTTGCGCAGCCTCCAATGGGGACCCGACCCCCCTCCCGAAAGATGATGATGAAGCGCCAGCTCTTTGGAAGATGCGCAGACTAGTTTCGAGCTGCTGCCATGGGCCCTTCTTTGGATATAAAACCAGCGGTTGGGTCACTAGGTTCATCATTGATCGGTTGGACATCGAGGGCTCAAGCACGACCAACGTGAAGATGAATGTAAGGCGGAGTGACAAGGATTATATAGAGAATTACCAAAGGATATATATAATATATATATAAAAGCTATTTATCAGTGATTTTGATAAGGGCTTCTTCTTTTTTTTCTGTGCCAAAATGTGACTCTAATTATGTGTGATTTTTCCAAAAATGAAAACCGTATTTTTTTGTCTCGTTCTCGGTCAAGTTCTTTGGCGCCTTTATTGCGCTCGCCATCTGCGCGCTCTGTGGATTAACCCAAGCGGATATATCGCTCAAGCTCCGGCAGCAGCAGCAGCAGCAGCAGCAGCAGTTCCAGGAGAGCAACTATGGCAACTCCGGCTACCAGATCTTCGAGGTGCACAACCACTTTGCGGGCAAGGGTCCGGCCTATCTGCCGCCCCAGGAGCAGGTCCATCAGCAGCAGCAGCAGGTTCCGGTTCAGGTTCAGGTTCAGGCCCAGGCTTTAGCTCCATCGCTGGCCCATGGCCATGATGACAGCTTGGCTGTGTCCTTCTTGAACTTTGCCGATGCCCCTGCCCCTACTCCCGCTGCATCTGCTTCTCCAGTGGCCGTCCCCTTCCCCTCCAACTACCAGCATGACTTCCAGCGCCAGGAGGCAGCTCCAGTTGCAGCGCCAGTTGCTGCTCCAGTTCCAGCTTCTATTCCTGCTCCAGCTGCTTTTAGTGGCCAAAGCTACTTGCCGCCCACGGTGCAGTCTCAGCCCCAAGTGGTTCCCCAGCAGCAGCAGCAGCAACAATACCTGGCTCCCACCGTTGCCCAGGAGGTTTCCCAGCCTGTTTCCAATTACCAGGCACCGGATTACCTTCCGCCAACAGCCACGCCTATAAGCTACCAGCAGCAGCCTCAGCAGCAGCCACAGCAGCAGCCTCTTCAGCAGCCTCAGCAGGTATTCCAGGGACCCACTTACCTGCCTCCAGTGAGTAGCACGGCCAGCAGCAGCAGCAGTGGCATCAGCAGCGTGGGAATCAGCAGCACTACTTCCGTCCAGGCTCAGAGCACGGCCGAGTATCAAGCTCCTGGCTATCTACCACCCCAGCAGCAAGTCCAGCAAGTTCAGCAAGTGCAGCAAGTGCAGCAGGTGCAACATCAGCAGCAACATCAGCAAATTTCCGTGCAGGAGCAGGCTCAGGAGTACCAGGCTCCTGGATATCTGCCACCTGGCTATGACTACTCCAATCCCGACCAGCTGCCATTGTCGCTGACCCAAACCGTGGCCCCCCAGCAGAGTGTTTCCTCCGTGCAGAGTGTCGCCTCCGTTCAGAGTGTCTCCACCGTGCAACAGGCTTCCGGGGAGTATCGTGCCCCTGGCTACCTGCCACCTGGCTACGATGAGCCACGTCCTCAGGTCCAGACTCAGATTCAGGCACAGCCACAGATCTCCTACCAGCAGCCACAGGTTCAGGTGCAGCACCAGCAGGTGCAGCAGCAGCAGGTAACCGTCGCTGCTCCCACACAGGCTACAGTGAGTCATCCCGGCGCCTTGCCCGATGGCTATGACTTCATCAAGCCTGATAATGCAGAGGCAGCTATTGCCGAGCTGCACAGCCTCCAGACGCAGACCAAGTTGCTCAAGCAACAGCAGGAGCAACAGTTGCTGCTCCAACAGCAGCAGCAACAGCAGCAGCAGCAACAACAGCAGCAGCAGCAGCAGCAGCAACAGGAGCATCACCATCACCATCATAACCAGCAGCAGCAGCAGGTCATTGTCCAGTCCCAGTTGCAGGTGTCGCAGCAGCAGCAGGGCGCTGACATCGTCTATGGTCGCCCCAAGGCCCAGGCACAGCCAGTGGCACCTCAGCACTTTACGGCTCCGGGTTACCTGCCCCCATCCACTGCTCCGGCATTGGCTCCGGTTCCTGTTTCTGCACCTGCACCTGTGCCAGTTTCTATTCCAGCTCCAGCTCCCTTGCCAGCTCCAGCTTCGGCTCCAGTCTCTGTTTCCGTTTCCAGCTCTTACCAGCATCACCATCATCAGCAGCAGCAACAACAATATAGAGCTTCCGGTTACCTGCCCCCAGCTCCTGCTCCTGCACCCATCCATGTGGCAGCCCCTGCTCCTGCACCCGTCCATGTGACAGCCCCTGCTCCTGCACCCATCCATGTGGCAACTCCTGCTCCGTCTCCTGTCCATGTGGCAGCTCCTGCTCCTGCACCCGTCCATGTGCCAGCTCCTGCGCCTGTTCGCATTGCAGCTCCTGCGCCCGCTCCTATTGCCCTGCCTGCCCCTGCGCCCACCCAAGTGACCCACATCCACTCCCTGAGAAGCTACATGAACACCGTGCAGCCCTTCGCTCGCTATGCACAGCCTGTGAGTGTTCGCCAGCAGCAGCACCAGCACCATGTCCATCACCAGGTGCAGCAGCAGCATCAGCATCAGCACCATCAACAGGTGATCGAGGTGGCGCCCATGTACCGTGAGCAGTCCAAGCGTCCCCGCTTTTATGCTCCCGCCTTCGTGAGCAGCGCTGTGCCCCGCCAGGCAGCCCCGCAGCCCCAGCAGCACCTGCACCATCACTACCACCGCGTGGTGCAGAGCCAGAAGCTGCAGCCCATTCCCGTCTCCATCCCAGCGCCAGCGCCCACGCTGAGCTTCAAGGCACAGCAGTCGCTGCAAAAGTTCATGCCCAAGGATGTCCAGGTTGCGGTTAATGTGGCCATGGCGGCCACTGCCCCGGTGGCGGCTCCTCCCTCGCTGCGCGGCAGCTCCCGGGTGCGAACCGTTCAGATTGTGAAGCCCCATGCGACGCGCACCTTCAAGGTGCTGGAGACCCTCGACCAGGCGGGCGTCAAGACCATTAAGATTTTGGGAGCCAGCAATGAGCAGCCTCAGGGCCGGCATCATGTGGTCAAGGTGGTCACCCAGAATGCGCACAGCGGTGCCGAGAGTCATGTCCAGACGGTGAAGATCTTCGATGACCAGGCGCCGCTCAGGCTTCAGGCGCAGCCCCAGATTGGTGGTGGCGCCGCCTACCTGCCGCCGGCGCGTCCCAGGACCAGGATCGTCCGCCAGGCCAGCAAGCCGCTGCGTCTGTATCCCGTGGCCAGCCTGTGAGGAGGGAGATCAAGGGATCCGCTCCCAGCACTGATTAGTTGTTAATTTCATCATCGAGAGGCACCTCGTGTCGTTTTGTTAGTTTTTTTTTTTGTTATTTTTTGTTATTTTCTCGCTGCCTCATTTCGCATGCATTCCAATCGCCGAAATCCATACATCCGAATCCGCATCTGGGTCTCCAAGATGAGTCCGAATCGCAATCGAAATCAAATCATTTGCATGCAATAGCAACTGGCGACTCGAATTTCTTACCCAATAAATACCTAATAATAAACTTACGTAAATATATGTAAATAATATCGTTTATTTAATGGGGAGACGGGGCATCGCAGACCTTGAACCAATTGTGGCCAGGAGTTAGTAGTACTTGGCCAACATTTTGGCTTGATTCCCCTCCAACCGACCTAAAAGAAGATGTCATTTTCCGATCTGTAGGAGATAGCACTTCGATTTTAAAAGGGGGTCCCACACTGATATAATATATTACAAAATTAGCCCGCGGCTTCCAAGCCAATTTAAAAGCCATTCAGAGTTGTATATTTACCCAAGGGTAGGCCACATATTTTATTATACCTCAGACTGAATAGCTAATGATAATCGCGGCAATGTCTCTGCTCCGTGGCTAGCCATCCCGGAGGCGTGTCTCCACTCTCACTCTTGCGGTGACCTTCATCTTCGATTCCATTCAGACTTTGGGTTCGTTTCGGACGGCCTTTGACAGATTTCTATTTGTGTTTTGCTTCCGCTCTAAGAAAACATATGCAAGAATTGAGAAATAGGAAAGAGAAAGGTCAGACCGGATTTCGGGGGCCCTACACTGTGGGAAATGAAATTTGGAATAGGTTTTTACTTTGTGTATTAAGTTAATACGTAGAAAAGGCATTTTTGAATTAATATTTAATTTGTAATATTCATTTCCGCTGAACAAATGAATATTACAAATTTTAAATACTCAACTAACAAAGAAATCAATTAAATTTTCTACCTTACAGGGCTTTAAAAAAGTTTGCTTTCTTTCTTTGTTTTTTTTAGCAACCAAGGACCAGCCGAAGATAGATAGATGGATAGATGAAAAAATAGATAGATAAAAAGATAAATAGAAAGATATAAAGATACTTAGATAGGATGATAGATATATTTCATTGCAATATTTTTGTAATAATTATTATTTTTCAATAACATTTATAAATTCTTGAAGCCTAATCCAGTTTTGTAGAATCTTTCAGCAAGGGCTCATCTTTGATTAGCCTGGACTTGGACTTGGGCCTGGCTGGAGTATAGATTGGATTTATTGGAGGGGGTTGTTGTCTTCCCTCAGGTGTGGTAGGTGCAGGGCCATCATTAGTCCTTGTTCGTGTCTGGGGAACATTGAATACCTCCTGCTTCTGCTCCTGCTCCTCCTTCTTGGAGGCCTTCCCCTCGCCTTTCGAAGGACGTGCTTTATCCTGGTCCTGGATCTTGCTTTCATCCAGCTTCTTCTTCTTCAGATCGTGCTCCATACGGGTGGGAGTGGGCTTGCCGGCACGCTTGCCCAATAGCTTGCCGGGAACCTTGTCATCCGCCGAAGCCTCCTCTTCAGTGTTCTGCTCGGTAGCACCCCCTGCGGTGCAGGTCGTCTCTGCCTCTGCCTTGGTGCCAGCATCCAATTGCTTTTCTTGCTTCTCCTGCTGCTTCATCAGTGGCTTCTCTTCTTTCTCCCGCTGCTCTTTCGTCGGCGGTGTCATTTTGGAGAAGCTACCCATGTCGCGGATGTGGTGATAGTAAAGCTTTGAGTGGTTTGAGCTCTGATGAAAATGATGCTGCCCGAATTTCCTGAAGCCTTTGACGTTAAATTTTTCCAGTGACAGCTGCTTGACATTGAGTTCCATGGGCTCTAGGATCTATCTACTGAAACTGCTTTTTAAACAAGAATTCATACCTTTTATATTGACACTTTTAAATTTACAATTTCACCTTTTTTTATATATGGTATATGTAAATTAAATATTTAAATATCAAATAGTATTTAAATGAATAAACCTTATCTAAGCCCCAATTAAAACCCCCTTTTAATGCCAAATTATTTCGCCCAGTGTACGCTGCGTGCATTTACGGCGGTCCCATTGATGAATATAAACTGTTTGGACACAGCTCGATGACATAATTCCCCGATGAATGCTGATCGCCCAAGACCCACTCTAATTTTTATTCAATCTCTTCCAACCTTGGAAAAGGGCCGACCCTACCTCCTCTCCCTTTCCACAAACTGCAGCCAGATGCCGCCCTTGTGGACGCCCACAAAGATGTGCGGATCCAGCTCGATGCCCGGCAGGGTACGCGGGCTGACCAGCACCTGGAAGCGCTGCACAATGGCCGCCAAGGCGGCCTTGGCCAGGGCCAGGCCCAGACGCATGCCGACGCACTGCCTCGGCCCGTTGCCGAAGCCAAAGAACACGCCCTGCTGTTTGTAGCTCTTCAATCCGCCGTCCAGGAAACGATCCGGCCGGAATACCTCCGGCTCTGGGTAGTAGTCCGGATCGTGGTGCAGAGCGTACACGGGAATCATCAGCTTGTCGCCAGGTCGCACCTTGAGGGGTACCGAATGATGCCTGCCCCGCAGCTCGTACTCCCGGGTGCAGGTCTTCGAGGCCCAGCCGGCGGCGGGATAGATGCGCATGCTCTCTGGAGGGCAAGGTTGGGGATTAGCTTGGGTCTAGCAGGGTTCCAGGTTCAACTCACCATCAAAGCAGGCACTGAGGAAGGGCAGATCGATCAGTGCGTCCAAATCAAGCAGCTGTCCGCTGGGATTCGCCTGCTGCAGTTCCTCGAACAGGCGTTGCTGGCACTCCGGATATCGTCCGAGCTACTCGGGATTAGGGGCACAAATAAAAGCTGGAAAGGATCATCATCTCGAAAGGGACATTACCAGCAGCAGACAGTGGGCAATGCTGTTGGAGGTGGTGTCCAGTCCATCAAACATAAAGGTCATGGCATGGGAGGCCATGTCCTCCTCGCTAAGGCTGTGCTCCCGCTGCATCTCCAGCAGGTGATTGATGAAGTCGTTCCGCTCCAGCCGCTGGCCACGACGCAGACGCAAAGCCTTGCTGATCATGTGGCCAAAGAAGCGGTCAAAGGAGCGAGGAAACACCTTGGGACGCAGGCGGCGCGGCAGGTTCGGGAACAGCCCGCAGACGGCGCCGGCAATGGCCAATCCTCGGTTCTCGGCAGACATCTCCTGGTTATGCCGCATCACTGGGAGGGGACTCTCGGTAAAGGTGCGCGCTTGGATGCCCAGGACGCAGTCGAACAGGGATTCGCCCGTGAAGCGCAGGCCAAGCTGTAAACACACAGGGAATATGGATGAAATTCCCAAGTTCCCTTTCCCCCTTTAATCCTCACATCAACGGCATCCAGGTCCTTGCCGCTGGGTGCCTTCCACTTGATGTAGTCACAGAGATCCCGGCAGACGCGCTGCATGATGGCGTGCGTGGTGCGGATGCGTCCGTTGGTCAGCAAAGTGGAGAAGATGGCCCGCTGTCGACGCCACTCATCGCCCTCGAGCACAAAGGGATTGAGGGCAATCAGCCGGTCCTTGGCTGTGTCCACCATCTGGGAGGCGTCGTTGTCCTCGAAGTGACGAAAGGCACTCACAAAGATCTCGTAGATGAGCCGCGGTTCCAAAACCAGCAGCTTTGGGGAACGCAGCAGGTAGCAACCCAGGTAGCTCTCCGAGTCACGATATTGCCTGGAATTGGAAGAGGGTTACGATGAGGCTTAATCCTGTTTTTGGGTTAGGATTCGGTTCTGATTTTGGTTCCTTACATGTACAGATCCCGCATGTCCATGGTAAAGTGCTGGCGTGGAAAAATAATATTGGGAAATGAACCCAGCAGCGGCCGGACACGTGGCTCTAGAACACCCCGCCGGCGCCAGTGCCCGAAGGTGGACACCAGGAAGCCGTACAGCAGGCCCAGCAGTGTAGCAATACCCAGCAGCAGCGAACCGAACATGACTACGTTATGAGAGGAACTGAGTGGGCGAAGCCAATCAAAGTGAGGAACTTATGAGTATCGGGAAGCAGGGCAACCAGGGAACCAAGGCAGTGGATCAACGGAGCACCGGAGCACCGGAGCACCTAGGTGCCCACACGGGGTGGCAAGAGGGTTAGATGATCATTGCCTAGCGTGTCTCTCAAGCCCGGGTTCGCGTGTGTCGTCTCTGGTGTATGATGGGGTCCCATTATCGAATCAACTGCCGGTGTGTGCTTGTATTATATTATATATTATATATAAATATATATTTATATATCTTTTCAGCACAAGCAGCGTTCTCAGGCAACTGTGTTACAACTATGGGATACCAAATAGTGGAAGCATTGAGAGAAATCCAAGCTGGATATATTTTCTTCGCTCTTGCCAAGATGCAAGGCATCAAGTTCCGATATTAAATCGATCAAAAATCAAACTCAAAATATGCCTTAAAGTCCGTATTATCCTTTTCCAATGTATTTTTATGAATTTCTAATTAAAATAGTTCCCTAAAATGAACTACATATATATTAAATTCATTCCTAATTGAAATCATTCCCTAAAAGTATCTATATATTACTATTCATTCCTAAGAAAAATCCGCTCTACGCGTGTCTGAAAACCACACTTGAAAGGGGGGAGTTCTCCATGGTAATATTCCATGACTCTTAAAGGAGACAATGCCCAAGAACTGAGACACAAACAACCTTTCATTGTCACTTTCTAATTACGGACTGAACAACAGCCCCGATCGGGGTTTCGGCAAACAGTTTCTATTATTTCGTATTATTCGCAATATTTTTAGCCTCGATGTAAACAAGCTGGGATGCTAAGCTTCTAAGCGTGTGCTGTGCAAATAGAGAGAGAGGAAAGAACAATGCCGGAGATTGGAGCCCAGACAAACGGATCAGGGTGGTGTTTGTCCAGGCCAAACAAAGCCGATCTTTGAGGGGATGGATGCTGGCTGGTATAGCTAACTGGGTGACTAGATGGATATATAAGCCAGGCGGAGATTCTGGAAAGTATCACAGTTTGAGTTTTCCAAGCTACAAAACAAGATGCGATTCTTCTGCCTGCTCCTCTTGGCCTGCCTGTTGGCCCTGGCCAACAATGTGACGTCCTCTGCTACAACCTCGTCGGATCCCACATCCTCGACCTCCTCGACTTCATCGACCTCGCCCAGCTCCTCATCGACTTCTTCTACCTCGCCCAGCTCCTCATCGACTTCTTCTACCTCGCCCAGCTCCTCATCGACTTCTTCAACATCGCCCAGTTCCTCCTCGACCTCGACCTCGCCCAGCTCCAGCACTAGCTCCACTTCACCCTCTACCTCTTCAACCTCAACGCCCAGCTCCTCCTCTTCATCCACTTCTCCCACTACCACTTCTCCCACGGCGGCACCTGCCACCAGCACGGCCACCACAGCGCCTTCTTCGTCCTCTTCGTCGTCCTCGTCCTCCTCCAGCAAGAAGAGCAAGCGGCGCGAGAGACAGAGGCGTGAGAGGAGAAGGGAGCGCAGGATCAGGAACAGGGAGAGAAGGAACAGGAGCAACAGGCGTAACCGTCGCAGCGGCTAAGAAACAGGACTCAAGGATACCAAGATACCGATACTACTTACTTTTTTCCTAAAATAAAGACAACAAATTGCAATTTAAAATTTATATTTTAAGGGATATACCAGGGGTGTTAGTTGAAGTTTGCCGGTTTTACTGTTGATGGCGCTAGCAGTAATATACACATTTGTATCATTCGGCATATGTGTCATTTTTTTCTGTTGACATTAACCTAAAGAAATACACAAGTCGCATTCCGTCAAAATATAAACATCATACTTTTTTACCTCAGTAAGTATGTCGAGTTTCGTTCCAAGTAAATCGAATTTGCGGGACCCATGTGGTGTCGTGTAATTCGAGTTATTAAAACCTTGGTAAAATTGTTGAAAAGTATCGCTACCGACAACAAATTATCAATTTGAATAATTCGTTGATCGAATAACGGCCGAATGGGCCCGAAAACATGGCAAAGTTATCTTGCAACATGACAACGCGCCGTCTCATACCGCTAAACTGACGAAGGACACACTGAAAGCACTTGATTGGGAAATATTATCGCACCCGCTGTACTCTCCAGACCTCGCCCTGTCCGACTATCACCTTTTTGCATCGATGGGACACTCACTGGCAGAGCAGCTCTTCGCCAATTTTGAAGAAGTCGAAAAATGGCGCGTCGAATGGTTTGCCTCGTAAGAAAAAAAGTTGTTTTGGAATGGTATCCATAATTTGCCTGAAAGATGGGCGAAATGTGTAGAAGCCAACGGTCAATACTTTGAATAACAAATTTTTCACATTCTCTTGAGAATTGAGTGTTTTCTTTATCGAAAAAACCGGCAAACTTCAACTAACACACCTGGTATCATGAATTTGGAAGGTATCACAGACTCATCTAACCTGAAAAGCCTTAAGCTTCCGAAGAACGAAGTTCTTAACTTTCTCTGGAATTTATTTAATCAAAAGAAGTATACAAAACAGCAAAGAGGGCTTTTCCGACCCTTTTAAGTATTCTTAATCAACAGCCGAATCAATCTAGTCATATCCTAGAGTCCTTCAGTATGTATTCTTCTATCTATTCCAGCATAAAAGTCATAATAGATCAGATCAAATGATAAAGTTTAGCCCAAAAAGTAATCCCAGCATTGCACATAGCCACCCCGATCTCTGCGAGCAAGGGGTACTTACTTGAGTGAATTACGAGACCAGATAGGCCAAAGGTCAAGAGTTCGGATGGTGACAGCCCCGCGCGGTGATCACCTAGCAACCTGACAACCCTGAGCCCTGTGGAGCTCAGAGTCAGCCGACAGACAATGAAACACTTAATTCAACAAAATGGGCCATGCGTGCCGTACTATGATATTTAGTGACAAATATTTATTTGGCCGCCACATCGTTAAAATTAGGAACTAAGATAAACTTCTTTCCGATTTGTTAATTTTTGGATTATAATCAACAAAAATTGCACAATTTTCTCAAAATTTTAACAGGGTTAACATCCTTAAAATTGTGTTGGGCCTTGAGATAGCTAACTCTCCACATTGAGCATCTCATCGCTCTTAATTTTGCTTGCAGGCCATTCTAATTTATTCAGAATTTTGCAACTATTCTTTATTATTAGTTTATAGCCGAAACTGGCCTTATTGGAACACAATTTATTTTAAAAATTATTATAAATTATTTCTCACACATCAGATATAACAACGAAAAACATTTCAATTTATGTAATCATAACAGTACATAAATACTCCTCCCTAACACAACTATGGATATATTATACACATAAAATTTATTTCAGATTAAGCCACCAAAAAGTAAGAAAACATTTTTAAATCCACAAAAATAAAATAAATAAATAACAAGAAATAAAGCTAACTTTGTTTGGCCAGCCAAAGTTTGTATACCCTTGCAGGTAACAATTAAAATATATCATAACTAAGCCAAAAATGCATTAATTTCGATTCGGAAAGCAGTTTTGTGTTAGTTTTTATTAATTTAAAAAAACTGCATACCAAATTTAAAATTTTAAGAAATCAAACTTTTTGGCCATTTTTGCTAATTTTAATGATGTAACCCCTCATCAAATTTCGCAAAAATGGCCAAAAAAATCGATTTCTTCCGGACATGTCTAGAAAGATTCGCATGTTAATGCTGACCAAGAATATATATGGTTTATGGGGTCGGAAATGATTCCTTGACTTAGAAAAATATTATTTTGTATTATAAAATCCGATTTTTTATATTAAAAAACTTCTTCATTATTTTAAAATTAACAAGACAGGAAGCTAACTCGGCATGCCGTTGCAAATTGGTTTATGTTTATATTATAGATTTAAATGCTGAAAACACTCACAAAACAGAGTTTCATTACATTTTACCTACACTTATTATGTTTACAGTTTGACAGTTACAGTTTTACATTCCCAGCTTTACATATTTTATACATTTACCGATCGCTTCTATGGCAGCTATATGATATAGTTGTTCGATTTTTATAAAATTTTTACCAAAATTCTAGAATAATAAAAAAACTTATATCTCAAAATCGATATAAATACGTTGAAACAACGAAGCAATAATTTTTTTCCTAATAATTTCCCAATCGTTCCAATGCACTATGGTTTTTTTCGCGTTTTTTTTGGCATAAAGTCAATTTTTTTATTTTTATGTATCTTAAAATTTTTTTTATTTTTAATTTTTAAATACCATAGACAAATAAAAAAATATGTAACTTTAACATATGGAACAACACTGTTCTGCTGGCCAGCTGTTAAAGTCAGCTGATTATGTAGCAGCTGTTTTGTATGAAATTGGCGCGAAAAATTGTGCGACTTTGATAGTTTGTTGTGGCAAAAGTTTACGAAGAAGTTAAAGTTAGTTAGTTTTTCTATAAACTCCAATTTTAGGTCTATTGTATTGAAATTTCGTTTGAATACCTTTTTTAAGCTTTCAAGAAGACCTACCAAGTTTCAAATGATTTGGGCACTATTTCATATAGCTGCCATATAACAGATCTGGCCCATTCGCCCAAAAAATTTTTTTTTTTTTAAATATAACCAAATCATTTGAAACTTGGTAGGTCATCTTGGGAGCTTAAAAAATGTATACAAACCAAATTTCAAAGCAATAGCTTGAAAAACAAAAAAGTTGGTGCAAATCGGCCAGATCGGTTATATGGCAGCTATATGAAATAGTGCCCCAAATCATTTGAAATTTGGTAGGCCATCATAGAAGCTTAAAAAATGTATACATACCAAATTTCAGATCAATAGGTTTAAAATTAGAGTTTATGCCAAAAAAAACGCGAAAAAAACCATAGTGCAATGGCAGCTATATCATATAGTCGTCCGATTTTCATAAAATTTTTACCAAAATTCAGAAATAATATAAAATGACCATATCTAAAAAATGGTGCAAAAATGTTGGAAAACAGCAAAGTTATATTTTTTGTTTTCTAACAATTTATCGAACATTTGTATGGCAGCTATATGAAATAGTCGTCCGATCCGGCCCGTTCCGACATATATAGCAGTGAGAGCATATAGAAAACTATATGCAAAGTTTCAATCAGATAGCTTTAAAACTGAGGGACTAGTTTGCGTAGAAACAGACAGACGGACAGACGGACAGACAGACAGACGGACAGACGGACATGGCTAGATCGACTCGGCTGTTGATGCTGATCAAGAATATATATACTTTATAGGGTCGGAAAGGTCTCCTTCACTGCGTTGCAAACTTCTGACTGAAATTATAATACCCTGCAGGGGTATAATAAGAAAAGTAGAAGCCCAAAAGATGCTTCATAATTTAAATAGAAATAAATGGGGTTACTAAACCGTCCGCTAGATGGCTTAGCACCACAGTTAATCCTCCTTTAGATGCCGTCTGGAAATAAGCAAAAATCTGGGGAAGCTCTCTCAGATTTATCCATCTTGGATTTGGTTCGGTTTAAAAATGTTGTAATTGTATTTTGTTTAAATGGTTATTATATATTCTTAGATACATCATTGATTGGTTTTAAGTTCCATCTAATCATCAATCAGTCGTTGTACAACCCACCGATGAATTATTGAGCTGACGACGACTACTGCACGAATCCCTCGAAATGGACCGGTTTTTAAGGTTGATTGATTGGGTCACTAAATAGGCTTGGAAGATGCAACCCACAGAGAGTCATTCGCTTCAGTTTAAATCACAAAAAATTAGCCATGGAAAGGATTTAGTATAGCAGGGGATTTTTCAAATACAAATAATATTTCCCAAAACACAAAAATGCTTTCCAAATTGATTTTAACGCATTTTTTGTCTTAGTTATACATTTATTAGGTTTCGATTTTCCCAAAAAATGTGTAGAATTATTAATTTAAATGAAGTATTCAAAATTATAAACAATTTCCTAAATTCGCAACACCGAAGCTTAACCTTTTCTTATACTTTAACGTAGTGTTTCTTCCACCTAAATTATTATATCATTATATAGTGTTCAAAATCTCTCAAAATATTAATAGAAATTTCTCGTAGAGCCTAAAAAATAAACTACCAAATGCTTAGTTATATTAAATAAGTTTATTTGGCGGCTAGTCATTAGTTAGCAAAGGCCGCTGTGAAGATTGCTGATTTTACATATTTACAGATTGCTAGCGTTGCACAAAACATATACACACGGACATTGTACAGTTGGCGGGGACCAGGATAAGGTAGATATATATATATATATAGCGAGATATATGTTGTGGCGGGAGGGGAGTGGTCGTCGATTGCACGGTTATTAATTTATATTTATATAGATAAAAAAAAATTATAGTAAAATTACACAAAATAACACGACCGAAAAACGGAAGGAGGAGGTTGTAGACTCCGGCTTCAGGGGGATTCTACAACAATCAGGAGTCGCTGAGGATGTCCTTTAATATCGAGCTGGAGTTCCGCGATGGCGCAAACTCGTTGGAGCCCATTGCCAGTGACTGTGGCGATCCTCCGCCTCCTCCTCCTCCTCCTCCTCCTGCTACTGGCGGCGTGACCGGAATCCCCGCTGCTGCCTCTTGACTGACGGCCACTTGTGGCACTTGCGGCGGCACCGAGCCAGAGCTCGTATCCATCTGGCCCGCCGCCATGCTAAGCAATGTGGGACGCGAGGTCACCTGGTTTTGTGGCTGTGACTCCTGCTCCAGGAACTGGACAAAGGCTTGCACCAGGTTATCCTTGCTGTGGCTAGAACCTGAAGAAGAAACCAAGGCTTAGTATTAGTGGGGATTTTCCTCATACCAGAAAACTCATCCATACCTGTTGTCCCCGAAGAGGGGGAACCGCTGCCGCCTAGGATGGCTCCCAGCCAGCTGCTCTGCTGCTTGTTGAGCCCCACCTTGTCGGCCTCCTGGGCATTGAAGTCCAGCACGGAGGAGATCATGCGCAGCACCTGCTGCTTATCGCCGGCATGTCCACTGACCACATAACCGATGAGCAGGCTCTTGATCAGGCTCTTGTCAATCCGATCCGTTTGGCTGCTCTCGCTGCTGCTCAGGCTCTGCTCCAGCCGACCGTTGGCCTCCTTCAGGCTCTCCACTAAGCGAGAGAGACGGAGAGAGATTAGGCAAGGATTAGTGTGTGACTTAACGTATAAATATAAGTATTATTATATGGGGGGTTTCGGTTTCTGGGTTGGATTCAAGGCACATATCCGGGGGAGAAGCGCGCGCGTGTTGGCTTAGTTGCTTTGGCATGCGGTTAGTGCGATCCGTGCACGGCGTAGTATGACATAAGTACTGGTTGTTGGATTTATGGCACACCAGTACCTGATGTAATACTCAACCGTACAGACGCTGAGCTCCTCCGATCTGCTCTGATCTGATCTGCTGTGGCGGCGGCACTGCGACTGTATATCTTTGACTGTGGCTGGCGCTGGTCAGTAGTGGGTAGCATCTCCTCTCGGATTCAAATGCAAAATGCAAATGCAGCAAATCAAAAATCAAAAACGAACTCAAAAAGGCAAATACGAAACGAAACGGAAACAACAGAATCCCGAATGAGACTCTCAAGGGGATTTGAGTTTGGAAATTCGGAACAGAGATAGGATACGGCATTTATAATATACAATATATAAAGGGGGAGAGACATGCAGAGTATATATTGAATATATATAGTATATATAGAGTACATGGCTATTTGGAGGAGTGTGTGTACATAATATGTGGCAAATGCCGCAGTCTCGAGCAATCTCCAATTGCAAAGTGAGTGCGTCGAATGGCTTAAACCGCTCACATTTACAAATTGAGATTATTCAATGCTGCAGATACAAAACGGTTCTTCATTCTTCTTTTTTCTTTATTTTATGTTTTACGGATTACGGGTTACGAGTTACGGATAACGGATGGTACGGTTTACGAGCTGATTATACGGTTTTATACGATTGTTTATATTGGGAGGGGGAGTAGGTATGTCACGGTGTCTTGTATCGATATATAAATATATAGTCACAACCATAATTAAATTAAAAATCAACAAAAATAATAATAACAATAAAGGCAAATAAACTATAATAATAATAAGCAAACAAGGCAGGACAAAATAGTTGGTTACCAAAGTAGTACAGTTTGAAAACAATCGAGGTTATCGAAGCTATCGATGTTTTCCCATCACTATTAAGAAGGATGTAACAAAGCTCTCAACTACTCTACTTTTAAAAAATCACAAAAAAAAACAAATAAAAATGCAGAAAGCTTAGAAAAAAATTAAAAATACAGCTACATAGCATTTAAATTTAAATATAATTATTATACTTGAACAAATTTTAAATTAAATGAATTTTTAAAATTATTTATTTAATTTAAAAAATATTATATTTAAATAAATTAAAAAAACAATATATATTATATTTAAATACATTAAAAAATATATATAATATTTAAATAGTTTAACAAAATATATATATTATATTTAAATATCAAACAAATGGTATACCAACACTTTTTGCATCTTTTTTGCTTAAACATTCACAACAAACACGAAAGAGTTATCAAAAGCTGCACAGTTCAAGCTTACACACAAAGTAAATGTATTTTCTAATTAAGATTTAACAAACATTAAAGACGCCTAAAAATTAAAATATTGTGGCTACTTGTGCTGTTTTTTGTGGTGTGTTTTTGTGCTCTTTCAACAATGATTGTTTAGAGGTGCAACATTAAGTGGTTAATACATAGTTATATTTGCTACTCATTAAGCGGACACAGAAGCGGACAAGTCAGTCGATCGATTACCTGGTCTCTGTGAGGTGGAGAGTTGGAGTTAACAGCCAATACAGATTTTTTTTTTAACTTTTTGCCACGTGCTGTAGGTGCAAATATTTGATCTCTTTTTTTTATTTTCCAAATTACAGAGTTTTTTTAATGGTTTTTTTTTTGTGTTTTTGGTTTAAGTTTTAGTTTGTTTTTTTTTTCTTGGTGATTAAATGCAATTCAAAAAAGTCGATACCAACTGAAATTCCGAGTGTTTCATATTTACGCTTAGCTCCCAGAATTACCAGCTGATATTTACCTTTGAGAATCGTGTGAGGAGGTGACACTGGTTCTTTGCTAATCTCTCACTTTCGCCCGAGACTCTAAGAGACAGAAATGGGTGTGCTTTTCCCTTTTTTATATATATTTTTTGAGTGATTCAGTGGGTTAAACAGTAGTCATTCCTAGGGGGTGGGGTTTGATGAACAGTGAGTGAGTTGCTGCTGCTGCAGGGGTTAAGTACATGCCGAGGGAATCCCGAGGTGCTTCAACACACAGGCTTTGTCATTTATATATTTCTTTTCTTTTTCTTTTCTTACTTTTTTTTGGGGGTTAGTCAACAAGTGTAGTGGTAGTTATAGTCGGTGTTAAGCCCCTAGATCATCACCACCCCCAGACTCACCTTCATCCCTCAGCACGGCTATGGTTTGCTGGCCCGCCTCTAGCTGATCGGAGAGTCGCGCCGCCGCCCTTAGTCCCTGGTTGGCATCCGCCAGCTGCTGCTGCAGTGCAGCCATCTCGGCCTGCAGCTGTCCTTGGTGAGCCAATTGGGACTGCATCTCACGGCGGATGCGCTGCGTAGCCAGCTCAATGTCGTGGTCTTTATCTGGAATTTATATTTTATTATATTTCTTTCCACATTCTTTTAGTTGGTCATAGTTACTATTTTGGAATTGTTCCAGGGCACACTGCAGATTGGTCAGAGCCGCTTGCTGTTTGAGCTCTCGATCCTCGCACAGACCCAGTTTGGCCAGGAGCTCATCCCGCTGCTGCTGGAGCAGGGCATGCTGGGCCTGCAACGTCTCCGCCTGCTGATTGGCTCGGATGCTAAAGAGGATAAAGAAGGATAGTTTGGTAAGGTTTTTTTTTTGGGAAAATCCTTAAGGGGAAGCAGAAACTCTGGAAGGTAATTCTCTAATCCTTAATCACCTCCTTGGCTCCCCTTGAAATCTATAATCTATAATCTTAGGCCCGACTCCCGCCTTATGTAAAGAGTCACGACTCCAAAGCCATATCCCAGAAATTGGAAATTGATTTTCCGGCTGGCGATAACAATGCACACTTGCGGAAGTGTCGCCGGCAATTTGCATGGTCTGGTTACCAACCCCATGGGTGTGGGTAACCGCCCTCCCTAGAGGAGAGGACGCACGTGGCGAATGCAATTAGCCAGCTTCGATCGCTTATCGCCCCATCGCCCTGCGTGGGTGTGACAAATGAGGCCACACCAAGGTTACACCTACCTGGCCGATGTGTAGGCAGTGCTGGACTTGGACGCCTCCTGCTCCAGCACAGCCTGTCGGGCGCGTGACTCCTGCAACTCTTGCTGCAGCTCCACCGTCTCCTGGGTGTGCAGCTCCTCGATTTCTAGGAGATGCGCCCGCAGGCGCTCCAGATCCCGCTGCACGCTGCTCTGCTGCTCCTGGGACTCGGCCTGCTGTTGCTGGAGCAGGCGCTGGTTGGTTTGCTCCGTCAGCAGGTTGGTGGTGAGTATGTCGGACTTTTCCTTGAGGAAGGCTATCTGATCCTGCAGCTTCTCGCGCTCCTTGGCCAGGTCCTTGAGCTGTGACTCGCAGGGCTGCAGGCGCTGAATCTCGGCGTAGTATTGGGTGTTCTCCAGGTGCTTCTGCTGCAGGGCCTTGATCAGTTCGTTCTTCTCCTGGCCCAGGGCCTCGATGGCCTGCTGGAGCTGCTGATGGTCATGGTCGGTGGCCTGCTGGCTCTGCTGCTCTGCGGTTTCCTTGGCCAAAAGGTGCGATTCCTTGAGCTGGAGTTCTTCCGTCTTGGTCAGCAGCTCCTCCTGCAGCTTGGCCTGATCAGCTTGGGATAGGTGGAGCTCCTGCTCCTTGGCCCGAAGCTGTTCCCGAAGCTCTTGAAGTTGCGTATTTAGAGCAGGGGATTCAGGCGTCTTTTCCGCCTCAAGCAGTTGCTGCTGGAGGCCTGTCTTTTCCTCGCTGATTTCCTCGATTTTCTGCTGCATCTCCGCCAGCTGGACTTCCTTGAGGGTCAGCTGATCTTGGCACTCGTCCAGTTGGCGGCTTGCCTCAGCCAGCTCCTTCTTGATGGTGCTCAGCTGCTGGTTCTGGTCGACCTCCATGAGTTCCTTTTGCTGCTCCAGCTTGTCCTGCACTTGGAGGAGTTCCCTTAGGCGCTCCTGGTCCGCCTGCATCTGGCCTTGGAGCTTGGTCAGTTGGACCTTGTGCTGATCCTCGCTGGCCTTCAGCTGGTTGGTTCTATCCTCCAAGCGCTGGCTGACCTCTGATAGTTGCTCCAGTTGGGACACCTGCTCATCTCTGCTGATCCTCAGCTGCTTGGCTTGTTCCTCCAGCTCTTGGTTAAGCGAGGCCAGCTTTTGCTTGAGGGTCTCTTGATCCCGCTCGCTTTGATGGAGCTTCTCCTGGCTCTGACTCTGGCTATCCGCGAGCTGTGTGATCTTCTCCGCCAGCTCTTTCTTGGCGCTGGCCAGATGCTGCTCCAGCTGCAGCATCTCCGCTTCCCTCTGCTCTAGTTTGGCCAACAGATTGGAGTCTCCGGCAGAGTCCTGCTCTCGCTTGGACCCCAGCTTGGACTCCAAGTCCCTTTGGGAGCCCAGGGCCAACTCCAGGCGCTGACGGGCCTCCTCCAGCTGGGCCTCCAGCTGCACAATCGTCTCCTCGTGGTGCTCCTCAATGGTCTCCAGCTTGTTGCGCTTGAACTTGTCCAGCTCGATGAGCAGCAGCTCGTTGTTCTTCATCAGCTCCTCGCACTGCAGAATATACTGGGAGATGTCCGCCTCGAGGGTCTTCTTCTCGTGCTCGCAGACCAGCTGCTGGTTCTGCACCTCCAGCAGTCGCTGCTCCACAACGTCCAGTCTGTGCCAGCGCTCGGAGAGCGAGTTCCAGGCCCGCTCCAGCTTCTGCTGTGACGTGGCGTTGCCCAGGCGATCCTCAATCTCCGCCTGCAATAAAGCGCGCAGCTTGTCCAGCTCATAGTGTCCATACTCGGCGGTGTCGGCCTCGTCCAGATCCGTGATCTCCTGCTTCTCCTCGGCAATGGCCTGCCGGAACTTGGCCTGCGCTATGCTGGCATCCAGCTCCTGGCGCAGGCGTCTGTTCTCCTCGCGCAGCGAGCCCAGCTGCTCCTCGAGGTCCTGGGCATGGCCCTCCTGCTCGGCCTCGGCATGAAGCTTGAGCTCTTGGTTCTGAACAGTGAGCTGCTGCAAACGGAGCTGCAGGTCCAGCTGGAGCTGCTCCTTCTCCGCCTCGCTAAGGCGCAGCCGCTTCTCCAGTTCGACGAGCTGATCGCCCAGCAAGTTGACGCTCAGCTGCTTCTCCAGCTGGCTGTCCTGCAGCTGCTGGTTGGCCAGGGTCAGGACCGAGATCTGCGACTCCAGGGAGACGAGACGATCGCGCAGCTTCTCCTTGGAGGGTGGCGATGTGACCTCCAGATCGGGATCGGGATCGGGATCAGAGCCAGAGCCAGAGGCGGAGGCAGCATCCGCCTGCCTAACCACTATGAACTCGTCCTCGCTGTGCTTGCCCCCCGTCGACGAGCTGTTTGACGAGGACTCCGATGTCTTCTTCTCCTTGGACAGGCGGCACTCTTCGAGCTCCTTGGCCAGCTTCTCGCGCTCAGCCTCTGCCAAGCGCACGCGATCAATCAGCTCGGCGTTGTCCTGGCTACGCTTCTCTAGGAGCTCCTGCATCTCGGCCAGCTCCATCACGCCGCGCTTTAGTTCAGCCGCCTGCTGTTCCAGGCGCTGCTGCAGCTGCTCCTGCCCCTCTTGGGCAGCCTTGGCCCCCCGCTGCAGTTCCTCCAACTGCTTCTGCTGCCGGGCACTGGCCAACTCATGCTCCACCATGCGATCCGCCTGCATCTGCTTGAGACTCGCCACCTGGCCGGCCAGCTGCGTCTTGTGCTCCAGGACGTCCCGCATGGCCAGCTCGTGCTGCGAGTCCAGCTCCTCCAGCGAGGCATTCAGCTGGGCATTGAGCTGCTCCAGCTCCGCAATGCGATTGTTCAGTCGGGACACATCGTTGGCGCCCAGGGCTATGTCCACGAGACCCGTCTGCTCCACCTTTTTGTCCTTTGCTGGCTCGGCTCCATCGGGCTCCCAGCACCAGCTGTCCTCCACATTCTGCTCCTCATTTTGCTGTGGGGAAAGAAGCCAAGGAAGAGTTTAGATAATAATAGAATAATTTCTCTTGAAAATATTTAAATAATGGATGGCTTTTCCTTAGAATTTATTAAATAGTTTCCAGGTAATAAGTTTTGGCATCTAAAAAATTACTTTTTATTAAAAAAAATATATTATAATTTCAGATGCCTCATGTAATGCTTCAGCGTGTTATAAAAAGGACGCTAAAATTAATGAGGTTAAACATATTTAATTCATTAAAAATTAAATAAAATTAAATCCCAAAAAAAACTTTTTTATATAAATAAATCGAATGCCTAACGTAATATCTCACTCTTAGAGAAAAAGGAAGCTCAAATTTATGTTTCTTCCTCAGAAATAATTAAAATACTTTAAAATAAATGGAAAAAAAGGAAGCTAAAATTTGTTACTTTTCCTTAGAAACAATACAATAATTTGCAAATAAGACAAAGAAGGAAGCATAAATGTATGGTTTTTCCTAAGAAGTAATACAAAAAAAAACCCATAAAATAAGTTTCTAGGAGAAGGAAACTTTTATTCGTCACTTTTCCCTAGAAATTATAAAATAGTTTCCATACATGTTTTATTTTTCATCGAAATATATAATAAAAGAGAGCTTAAGTATATGGTTTTTCCTAAGAAAAAATTTTAAAATTCCCAAAAGGTTATTGTAGATGGAGAAGAAAATGTTCAAATCGTTTGATTTCCCTTAGGAATAATTAATCTCCGAATTGAAAAATCAATCCCACTATTCTGGGCAACTGTACCCAAGTTAGACCCTCCAAGAAGGTGACACCAATAGCCGGAATGCTCTTGGACTCTCACACTTCTCTTCGTCAACTCACAGTTCCATCCTAGACCGCACCTCCTCTTGCCACCTTGCCACCTCTTCGGGAGCGGGCTCATCAGCGAACCAGGTCAATTGGGCAGGCGCTAATGGCAGGCGGCCAGGGCGGATCGGGGCGGAGTGGAGGGCAGGAGAAGGTGGAGCTCGGGTGCGGACGACAACAGGTGGAATTGCCGACGGCAGAGGCGATATGGATGGCGATGGCGGCGCGTGAAACATGAGCGCGTTAATGAGTTTATGGATGAGTTGAGCAAAGATGGCGGCCTCTGCCGACGCAGACGTCGACGTAGAAGCCGACGCTGACAGCCATAGCGATAAGGTCCCAGTAATAGCAACGAAATCCCCACAAAACCCATGACGAGACGCTTAGCGGGCGCCAACAAAATGGCCGGGGCAGTAAAATAATACACAAAAAAAACGTAAAAAACGGGCCACCAAATAAATATTAAAAAAATAAAAAATATATATAAATTAAAGAAGAAGATGTAGAAAAACCTGGCAAGTAATTAAAATTAGCTCAAACGACATGCCAACACACACACACACACACTCGGGTTTATGGCCATGATTCATGGCAGAGGGGAGTTCACAAAAAGCTGTACTTGGCAACGTGTATAAATTATTATTATTCTAGATAAATTAATTTAAATAAATTAATAATAATAAGCGCACGGTTTGAAATTAATTCCGTAAAAGTTCATTTGTTAATAACTTTAAATATAGAGCGTAAACAGGGACTATCTATTGTATGCAAAGTATAATGAAAGAATGTTATAATAATCAAGCATTAATAAATTTCTATTGAATTAAAGTCTATCGTAAAAAGATGCTTATTTTAAAGCCTTTAAAATACTCTTAAAAATATTGTTTTAAAACCTATTTAAACTATTTAAAGTTAAACGATTATAGACCCCTTTAAATATCAGATCAACTGGGTAAAGTTGCTTCTTAGAAAAATGAAATATCTTTTGTTAATTAGTAGTTTGATTTTGAAACAAGTCACTTTATATATTTTGTTCTATAACTTGAACATTATACTAGCATTTTATATTAAAAAATACCTTAAAAATACAACAAAATGTTATATTTTAAGGTTTTAACTGTTAAAACCAAAACTAAATAATAATTAAAAGTTATACTAACATTTTACATTTATTTATTTTATGTTAAAAATACAACATCATGTTAGAATTTAAAATTTTAAATGTTTTTTATATTTTTCCTATTAAGTTGATAATTTTAACAGAAATAGGTATAACATTTCTTAAAAAAAAACTCTAGCTATAAGTTTTACAATTTTAAATTCTTGAAATATGAAGAAAAACCCAGAGATCTCAAGATCATATCAAAGAAATCTAAAAACCACCAGTAAATATCATTCCCACACTTTTCGTACTCCCCAGACATTTCTATGACTCTAAAACGTGTATATTTTGCTATATACCAGCCGATTCTCAGTTCTGTTTTATTTGTTTATTCAGTTCAGTTCAGTTCAGTCTAGTTCATGAGTGTGTAATTATACCCTCTCGGTTCGGTTCGGTCCGGTTGGGTTAGGGTATCCAAAAAGACACTTGTGCAAACTGGGTTATCAACCATTAACAGCTTGCAGAGAATGGATACCGAAGACTGGAGAACCATGTAGTTATGGGTGTGAAAAAAAAATGAGGAAAAACACTTGTGTTTCGTAAACAAATATTGGTAATATATTATTCACTCTGGTGGAGTCTCGACTCCCAACTATGGACACATCGATCAATTTGGCGTCACCGCTCCTGATATCTTATATATATATATATATATAATGCATGATGTATGTATATATATATGCTCGACTACGACCAGGTCATCAGAGAACAAAGAGAGAGAGAACGAAAAATTCCAGACGCGATAAGATAAAAATGAAATGGTAATGTTGGCATAGGGGTTAAGGCAACAGGTTGTCACGGGCAAGGAGGGGGGTTTTTTTTTTTTAAGATTTTGGGGGGTGTGGAATACTTGCCTAGCAACCGGAAGTTGGCAAACTTTATCGATAAAAAGAATAGCAAGAAAAATGTGTCACTGGCAATAAAAGCGTTAACGCAGAAATTTGACAACTGAAAAGTCTGAGATAAAAGTTGGAACTATATTTGTGGAATTTTTAATTCGTGGAATAACTAATATATAGATTAGATCTTAAGCTTAAGTAATTTTTAAATTTTGTAAGGGTAATGTAATGTAATGGCCTTTTTGATGCCTAAATCGAACTGGTCTATGTCTTGACTTAGGAAATCAATTTCACAGGAAAAAAAAATACCAGAAAAGAAGTTATAGCTGAAATTTCACATCTAATATAGGTTCTATTAAAAAATATTAAGACTGAAAACCAAAGATTAAACCTAGAGTTGGAATTGTAGCACATCTATTTCGTAAAAAAAAAAAACAAAACAAAAAATTAAAGATCGTTAGATGATTTAATAGATCTTTACTTTTAAATATTCTGTAATATCATCTAAAATTACATCACTCACGTAATGCTTAACCTTAAGTTAAAATGTAAAAAGAAATGGAAAAAACTAAAATGGAGTCCGCAGATTTATTAACAAATAAAAAAAGCTAACTCAGAGCCGCTTTTCGAATTGAAATTAATACATTTGTGGTCGAGTTATGATATTTTTAGGTTTGACTTTTTCCATAAATTATCATATAAAATTATTGATTTTCATAATTTACACCGTTAAAATAAAAAAAAAAAACAAAAAACAATTAAAAACAAAACTTAAACTCAGTCTGCAGATTTATTAACCTTATAAAAACTAAGACCCACTTCCAAATTGAATTTAAGGCATTTTTGGCTGAGTTTTTTAAATAAATTTTTTTATAAAAATAAAATTATATCGTTAAAATTAAGAAAAAAAATTATAAACAATGAAATATGAAATAGAAAAATTTTAAACTCACAAAAAATTCAAAAACTCCTAATTTATTAAAATTAATTTTCTTAGCAACTCTATAAAACACATTTAAGTCATTTATATATGTACCTAAATATATATTATATATTATACAGCTTCTGCTATAAAAGAATGACTGACTTGGCAAAAGCCAAGTTCAAGTTTTGTGTTGTCAGGCTGACAAACACATATATAAACATATATATATATATCTGACATAAGCGGAAAGTGTGCAATTATCGGGAAATATAAACAAATGCGTGGAGCAGGGCTCGATCAATATTAATTGGAATCGCTTGCGCTTTAGTCATATTACCCCGCTGACGTCTTTGACTCTGGGCTCTGGTTTCTGGGATCCCTTATCTTATCGTTGCCATGCCACAAAGATATCCGCACCAAGCCAACCCAAACCCAAACCCAGAACCAGACCCAACCCAAAGCAAACCCAACTCAACCCGATGGTGGGATTTTGTATTTTGTTTATAAATAAACACACAACGATTGCTGCTTATTCCTGTTCGTTTTCCCTTTATACAATATGTACATATACCGGATCCAGTTCCAAGTCGATTCCAAGCTCCTGATCTCGTCTAGGATCTCTGCAATGCGACTCGGGGGAATTGGGGTCTGCGGATTCGGAGCTTATCAGCCGGGTGTTTGGTTTTCAAATTCAACAAACGCGATTCGGGGAATTGTGTGTCAGCGAAAATGTCCGATTTATGCGAAACTCTCCCTTTAGAAAAAGGAACCACAGAAACTCTGGGGAAAAATGCTTAGCTAAGTTATTTGTTCTTTAATGAAAGACATTCCAGGCCAAGCATAAAAATATTAAAATAACAAATCAAGAAACAGCCAAACACTTCAGAGAAATATGTACTTTCTTGGCTGTAAATTCTCCTAGAAAATATATATTACCAATACCAAATAATTGACAAATTATTGGCCAAGAACTCTCTCCACTCCACTCGAGTGGAATCCCTCTGTTGACTGATAGGAATATAATCGAAAGTAACAAATTATCCGATAACAACTAACTCAATTAAGGCTGGTGCTTCAGCGGAAAGTTTCCGTGTCCGATTCCCCGATTCCGAAACCTTATCTCAGGTGTTTTGGATTCCCAACACACATTCCAATTCCGATTTATTCTTTAAATACAAATCTTAATATCTAATCTTAGGTGCCTCACAACATGGTGAACCGCTTATATGAATCATTTA